CGGTTGCCTTTTTTTTTAAATGGTTCCGTAAATTAATTCAGACGCTTGCAGAACCGAGATGAATTTGTTTGTAGGTTTGAAAAGTTTTCTCTAAGTTTCTATGTCTATTTATGATCTACGGGACCAGCCCCGAGAGCTATGCGATATCGATGGGGGTGACCTCTTGCTCGATTCAAGCCGCCGGAGACCAAGCACGCTGAAGGCTCCAACCTCGTCGTGGTAGAGGGGGTTTGTAGCCGTGACTTGGTCACCAACGATGAAGCCCAGAGGTTACCACACCGAAGGTGCGGGGAACAAGTCAAGCGTGGTAGAGGAGAAACCACTCTGCCTTTCTTCTGCAACTGAGGAGTTGCGACTGGATGGGAGTGTCGGTATTGCGATACGCCATACGATAGAAACTTGCTGAGTGGCGAAGGCACCAAGCAGATCCGCTGCTGGGGGCTGGGGATTCGCTATTCATTAGCATCGACTCATCTGGCTCCCATGACGTCTGGTCGAACTCAGGGGAGTTTGTTGGCCGTTCAAATGGGGCCGAGTGGGAAGGCACGATGAATTTTCTGTTTTCTTATATGGAAGAACTCACATCCCTTTTAATTCCTCCCATGCATTGGCACGGGTTCCATAAAGCATTTATCCCACATAAAATAAAATTAAAATAAAGAAATAAAATTAAATTAAAATAAAGATAGAGGTATTTAATTTCCACTTGCAATTGACCAATTCACTTGCATTAGATATTTTTCCAAACAGATAACACGCCTAAAGAAGATACTTATTTCAATCAAAGGAACCACTTTAATGTTTACTATTAAAGTGCCTTAAATAATTTCATACAAGAACAAATTAAAAAAATAAGAATCTTACACGATCCATCACTTTTTAGGGTTCCGTACCCAAAGGGTAAAACGGGCCTATTACTAAGACTACGGTATATGTCTATCTGTCAGTCTGTCCGATTGTCACCAGGACGTATCTCACGAACCGTGATAGTTAGACAGTTGAATCTTAACAGATTATGTATTTCTGTTACCGTTATAACAACAAATACTAAAAAAACAGAATAAAATAATGTTTAATTGTTGCTCCCGTACAACAAACATGATATTATGCCGTTATTATAGATAACGGTTTTTACAGGCAATATAAACGTCAGTCTGTTGTACGGATGACCCTGCACCTCGGATTCTTCAGATCTTACAGACAACGGACAAAGTATGCTTATGTCGGCTGGATGCCGGTTCCGACCATCATAATTGTTGGCAGCGCAAATCCCTCCCTGTGTTGTAGGTATTTATTGGCATTAGATATTATTCGAAGTCAAGTACAATCAATATCGATTGCTCATATGCCACCCTATCTAATACGTAAACAATGTTTAACCTAATACATAATAACTCTGTCATTCAAGTTTGAGGTGTGTGAACTTCATGATATTTTCACATTTTTTTCGTTTTATAAAAGTTCACGGGTTTTTTATTAAAGCTTTAAATAGCAGGCTAAAATATTATTTATTTATTTAAAAATTTATTGTTTACACCCCAACATAAGGCCAAACAAAAGGTAAACTTAAAGCTAATAAGCATTATCTTCCAGTCAACCCTGGTTGTAGTTAAAATTTGTCGTAGGTGCAATACAAAATCCGAAATTCGATATTAAAAATGAATTTTTCTTTGTATTAAGTGTTCATGTATGTAAATGTCCTTACAACACAGGATAGTGTTATCCTACAGTAAGGAAAATGTTTTGAAAAAGAAATTTAAAAAAGGGAATTTATATATTCTATTAGGCCATTTTGGCACAATGCCCAATTTGTTTAGAAATAAAAATTGGATCATGCTTAACTTCAAGACTGCTTTTACGAATCAGTGTTATGGATGACGGATCTAATTCCCAATAACAGAGGATTCCCTTATGCAATGGTAAAATAAAACTATATTAGGTATGTAGCATGTTTATTAAATCAGTACAGATCAACATGCCCGCTAGAATTATTAGGGTTGTCTGAATATAAAGGATAGTACAAGTGATTAAATAATATACACAATTCCCTGTACGTCATTACGCAAAAACTGAGTTAAGGCGTATTTTGAAATAGTAATAAATCTTAGTCCTTAAACACGTAGATAGAACGTTAGAAATATAATAAGTATAAACATATAAACAAATAAAAAAGGTAGTGGTGAAAGCTCGTATAACTAAATTCGATTTACAATAGATCGTCTTCTAAATAGTTATTAATAATAGAATTAGTTATTAGTTAATGACAAAATCTTTGAATCGATTAAAATTGAACTGAATAATAAATATAATCCATTGCCATCAAGGTAACAAATACATCACTCGGATAGAAATATTACTTTCAAAGAACCTTACGTATTGATCGTTGTAAAGTAAATAGTTAAATTTGCTTTCAAGTTTGTAAAAATTATTTATTAAAAAGAAAACGTCTATAACAGTTCTGAGTATAAATATTTTATTAAGTATAGGACATAGATATATAATTGACTACCTATCTACGTAGAATTAATATATACAAATACAGGAATCTGTTAGTGGAGTATAAGGCAGAAATGAATTCAGTCTATAAATTCTAATACAATACGAAATTCCTGAAAAGGACATCAGAAGTAAGATAATAGTTAGATAGCACTATAGTTAATAAAAAAAATTTTCTACACATATGGGGCGATAGGCACCCCCCGTACGATGCAATATTGATTTATACAAATGAAAGATTCATGTTAGTAAAAGAGTTTGCAGTTGGTTGATTATTATATGAATAACAAGGACTAAAACAACATAAACTAATATTTAATACTAAATACGTGATTCGTACATTCAGATTTAAAATATAATGAATATTAAAAAAATTATGAACGCATGTGTGTGACGTATTATTGCGAGTAAACTATAGAGCTAGACACATATTGGCAACATGCTAACTACCTCTCAAATGTTACTTGTATAATATGCAAAGACTTGCCAACCGAACGTAAACATTAACCCCTTAAACTGTATTTTAGCAGTTAACCGTAACTGAGTTGTTTTATTTCAGTCTCTTTTCAACATAAAATGCTTCTGCAAGATAAAACGTATCTTTAAATTCATCCAGCAATTATATTTTCTCACCCCAGGGCAAAGACCGCTTCTGTATGAAAGTCTTCGAAACATTATGTTTTTTCAATTAACTGCGATCAGATTACCTCACGATGTCCATAAACCTTGCAAATTTAATTTCATTGGCGAATAAAAGTTAGTGCGCGAACCTGTCACTGTTCCGCGGCACTTTATATCAATCAATATTGCAACGTCGGGGTAAATATGTTAGTCCTATATACACCTAATAAACCTCCTACCGAAAGCGAGAGATATTTTAAATATGTATTTCATAAGTTATTTCACATTATTTGTATCCATAGTTACAAAATACGGGATATATTAAAGCTTTTTTAGGCATTGATAATAACTACCGTTACCACATAAGAAGTTAATGTTTTATTACGTATCTATACCCCGACCAGAAAAATTAAAAAACACCGCCTTCTTGCGTAAACCAATAGAATAAATTTCTTCTACTAATCAATTACGAAGAAAACTAATGGGGCATTCTCAGTGCAAGGTTTTTTATTCTTCTGACCAGGATATATATGCTGCACGTACTATGCACAATATATTTCAAATGTGAAATACCCCTTCTAAGAATACGTTAAAGCGGTTTAATATATTCTAAATAATATATCTTGTTACGCTCATAAGTATAAGTATTTTTCTACAATTGACAATCTATGTGCAATCTACCCGAACGTTTATACAACTGAACGGAAACTAATATAGCAACCTACATACAATTCAATCAAATATAAAAACTTCAACGAAATACTAAAACGCATTATCAATTAGTTTCAACATTAAATTAAAAATGGTTCGTCTAAAAACTAAATATATAATTCAGTAACATGGCATCGTCAAAACTTAAGCTAGGATTATATATACTACATCACTTATAAATAGAAATTGAAGGCCAATTAAAAGAGAACATAAATAGGTACTATACATACCAACTGGCCTGCGAATCGATTGTTAGACTATTCCGTAATAAAATTATAAACATATAAATATTTTAATCGCAAGTAAGATTTAAAATGTCCGCTGAAGGAATGTCCATATTACTGAGCACAGGATCCAATCCAATTTATTTTCAAATTACTCTGAGAACTTGCTAGGAAATTTTAGATTAGTATTCGTGAAGATATGACAAAGAATTAATGTCTAGTGCACTCTACATAAATGACTCGAAGTATATTAATAATTTTATTAATTATAGCAATCATAAACGAAAGAAGAATTGACAATGACGTTTTTCTTTATAATTTTAGCATCAACTAGTTTCCACCAACATCTATTCGATGAAAATCATTCCAAATATCGATATGATGTAAAAGTAAAAGATTATTTTATTTTAGTTCATACATTCAGTCCGTTCTATTAGTTTTATATTCCGTTTTATAATACAATGAGTATCGAGTGCTATCTATTTACTGGTATAAATAATATTTAAAAATATTATAATATTTTTGAGTCCATTACAATTAATTTTATTCTAAGAAACTTCAAAGCCTTCACTTAGTTTAGAGATGAGCTACTATAATTTGTATAAATTATCGACATAATTATGAAAATTTCTACATTGAATCCAACGATCATTACTACGGAACAAATAAAGATATGCTTAATTCAATAATAATTACCAGTTCACAACTTTCTACGAAGCTTCAAATGGTAAATTCCTTCGCAATATTGAAAATAGAAATGTACTACGTTCACAATTGTTAACTAAACCGATCAAACTTTTCCATATAACATTGATAACTTCTCGCTAAATTTAATATGGCAATAAGAATTACCCTGCAGTCGGGTAATTTTAAATGTTGACAGTATCGGATGCAACACGCAACCAAGATCAAAACTAAGGATGTCCATAAAAGTTCTGGCCGTACTCAAGTGAAGTAGTTGTCCCTTTGTTGGTAAATCGGCAACTCTACGTCTGGAGAGCGATCATCAGAGTCCTCGGCGTAATCTTGAAGCGGCAGTTCTTCCAATGCTCTCACTATTAACGGAAAGGTTACAATCAGATGAATGCAATAAAGGTCAATGATCTCAAAAATGCAATAAAAGAAGAAAAAACAAAGGAAAACCAAAAAGAAGCTACTCACAACGAAACGCATAAAACGAAACCATGCTGCAACACGTACAAAGCCATCTTCAAAGGACCGCCCATGTGGAAATTGTCTTAGTGTATGATACTAGCAATCTGGAAAGAACATTCTAGTGCGTTCTAGAAATTACGGAAGTGTTGGTACGTTAGCTCTGTTCATAATTTAATGCGACTTTACGGGATTGTGATTGGCCAATCAGTTGTTCGCGTTGGACGGTCCTTGCTCGGCATTGGTTCCTGCAGAGAATGGGACAAACGACATGAAGCAAATTTTAATGTGGTAAGCGTGGACACACGTGATTATTAGTCACATGCACCTGTTGTTGAAAATATATGTAAATATAATGTATAGTATAAATCAAGGTACCATAATATGTGAACTTAACAGACAAATTGTCTATTTTTTTTTTTTTCATTCGAACCTGCATTTTTTGAGAACTTCCCAGGCGTAACTTAACTTTTTAATGTCATCTCTACTGCAGATACTACATAAAACTAACAATAAATGATATTCATTATTAAGTATCAAGCTATTCTCAGTACTGTATGACTATTGGAGTGGAGCTGTAGATTTGACGACAGCACAAACCCCACTCGGACAGATACATTACATCATTATTTGAGAGCTTACTGTATGATTTATAGCCCAGTTTCGTGAATAGAAGAATGTAAATTGAGTAAATTATTTGGATTTACTTGCAATTTATCAAGTTTTCTAACAAAACATGATTCAACTGTATAATAAAGAGGAATAAAAACCATACGGGTGGGTAGCCTGGAAGCCACACTTAAGTCAATCGTTTGTGACAGTATTGTCACTTGTAAAATATTACAGTATTGACACTTGTAAAATATGTAGCAAAACATCTTTTTCTAATAAGCAACACACGGAATTATATTTACTTCCCCTTAAATTACTTCGCTTTAAAATTAACTAAAGCCGAGCATACACCATTAATAAAATCACATGCCTTCATCCTTTCACACATTTATAATCACTAAAACACAAACATGCAATGTTGAATGTACATTGTATGCCTTTTGAGTACTATTGAAACAATGTTTTACTCAATCTGGTCGAAAAATATTAACACTTTACAGGAAAGATCTTGCAGATTTTTAAACATAAGAAACTTTACCTGATCAGAGCTAAGAACTTTATTAAATTCTAAAACTTAATATAAAACTAAAATTATAAATAATCATTAAATATGATCAAGACTAATATTGTATTGAATACTCCGACAGACCTTGAGTTTAGAAGACACAACAACAATATTTAAAAATGTCCGTATATGACTATATTAGTGGGTTTCACCTAAATTCTCATAATTTGCCCCTCTAATAAAATTTATGTCACCTGAGCTAGTTGCTACAAGTGCATATCCCTATCATAGACCGGTCGATTGAATTCATATGCAATGCGTGAAGTCATTTATTATGTCGATGATATGAATCGTGCTACTAACCTTATATTTATTATACTCTATTTTAGTACGTAGTGTTGATGAGTGCGAACGTTTGCAGTGAAACTAGTCCACTACCCGATACCATGTCCAATTTAGCGATCATGACATTCGGCACAAACTTCTTTAGAAATAGTACAGGTGGTGGGCAATGGTTAGGCCAAACTCACATCGACTCAGAAAGGGCATCACAAAAACTAGCGTATCTGATATGTTGGGGATCTCACCAGCTATGATTTTGCTCATCTCGGTGACCTGCTTGGCGAGAATCTGGTTCATCTGGAGCAAATGCTCGCGTTGCCTCTTCTCTTCGCCGGCCGGGCTCTAACGGGCGACGCAACAAGCACACACATGTATGACTGTGCCGTTTAGTATTTACAGCCAACATTCGAAGCGGCTATCCAAAAGCTCGTAGGTTTGTAGATACAATATTATAGTCGTTATTTTCACTTTAGCAAGTAAGTGTGTAGCAAATAAATCCGTTGATTTATTTTAAAATTATTTTTACTCATTTTATATCATGCATTCGAAGGCGATTTAAATAAATAATGATAATAAAAAAATATTTTACATAAGTAATTACTTAATTTTTAAAGCTGCTTTATTAAAATGATCAAATAATATTTCTTCCTTGTGAAGATGTCAGTTTCAAATTTATGATTTTCGTGTTTCAGTTTACAATCAAATTGCAACAAATAGAAGATTTGAAAGGTACCATACCTTGATGAGTCTTTACTTTTATAGTTCGGTTTAATATCAAACGGATTTTACGAGCTTTTATTTCTGTAACCTTTTACTTCGATCGCCATATTTTATCCTTTATACCTTTTACACAGGACACACGACAGTACTATAAAATTGTATCTACTAACAGCAGTAGACTATGTATTTTTATAGTATTTTAATATTTGTTCATTATTCTAGTACAAGGAGATTTTGAAAGGGTTGAACATGCAGTTGAAGAATAACGTGTAAAGCGATCTAACTAATACAAGATGCAATGTACATGAAACTACAAGGGGTGTATATGACACTAAGGCGTTGTCGTAGTAATGCCTTTTAGTTATTGTTAATGATATATAAACAAAGAATTTGATTTTGTTGACCGATCTTCAAAATTAAATGGGCCAATATGAATATGAACTTGTTGAACTTGGTGTCGATGAATTAATACTATAAAGAAAACTGCAAATTTCATTTCCATAATGCAAATGTTTTTCTGGAAAGTGATTTCAGAATAGAAGAAAAGAAACATTTATAAATGACAAAAAAGATTTATTCGGAAAATCGAGAGAATTGTTATAACAGTTAGTTTATTAGTTAGTTTTCCATTTGAAAATATCGATTTTCATCAAAGGATGGAAGATATATATTTAATACTAACCTTAGCGGAATCACCTGAAGAGTCGGTGAGCATTTTTTTAATGGATTCAACTTTCTCTTGACGCTTTTGTTGCTCTTCTGGCGAGAGTTCGGGAGGCTGAAAAGGTATTGTATATTCTTTAACATTGTTTAAAAGCCTTAGTCTGTGCACGTTATAACGTCCCAGTTAAGGTATTGTTTGAATGTATAGATTAGCAATGAATAAAAATAGTGCTTGAAAATTCTTTCTCACACGTCTGTTTTTATAAACGATATAATACGTATAATTCGCGTATAAATAATTCGCGTTTAACAGCTATTTAGTTCTGCAAAATAAAATAATATATTAATTACAATGTCCTGTGTAGCGCCTCGCAGTAGCTTTTGCGGGAACGTACAGGCTTGTCCGAAGAAATTCTTCTACTTCAACGCTTTACAGATAACCGTGATGATGAGTTGGAAGTATTATACTTTTGGGGTTCGTCTGATGAGCGGGTTCACCAAAGTCTACTTTCAAGGTCACCATGGCATTAGCAACCCCACGGGTGTTGTTGATCTCCATGGACTACGTTATTCACTTAAAACCAGATATAAGAGAACCGAACCGTACCACCTATTACGATACCACATTCTCTAATCAAAAAAATCCACATTACACATAGTCATAGAGATATGATGATTAGTTATTAAAATAATCGTAGGAAGAAGTTTTATACCGCAATAAACGATAAAAGAGCATTATCATAAAATTCTTCACGCGCGATACGGTGTACGTGCCCACTGTTACAACGGAACGGAATGTGATTCTTTATTCACTAAAAGATGGGAACTGGACTTTGAGACTTAATACTCATCGGAACTAACGGAACTAAGCGGTTTTTTATTTACTAACGAACTGGCCAGTAATTGACGATAAACAACGACATAGATTTTAAGCAAATTTCTTAATTTTACAGCTGTGAAGGAAATCGTCGTGAGGCACCTGCATATGGCATTAAATTTTATATCCACCGTTTGCACTAGTCTGTACAAAAATTATATTTAATAATTAAATAAATAAATATGTTCGAAATAATAATAAAATAAAATATTTCGAAGGACCGCCAAGGGCTCGCACGATATACTATATCCTAATGAACTCTGTACGGGGGAAGCATTTGCACAGCTGTGGGAAATAATAGGCTAGGCTAGATAGATAGAGAGAAAAAGAGTTACTTTCCCTTTTTATTCTTTATTGTGTTTGCGGCTACAAAGCTGAATAGGCGAGACGTGTCCTTGAGTTGAGACACTCACCTTCTCCGGTATGTACCGCTCGGGGATGAGGATCTTCTGGGGCGCGGCGAGCAGCTGGTCGATGGAGTCGGGCCCGCGGCGGGTGGGCAGCGCGGAACGCACCACGTCCGGTGCGGCGCCTCGCAACGCCCGCTCCATGTCTGCGTCGTCCAGCGAACGCTGCGCCGCCTGTGAACGGCCCCGCCGGTGGGTTTCAATATTCAACCGACAGATAGATTTGGTTACTAGCGATAGATATTTGACATTAGCTCCATAATACTTACGTCAAAATTCTATCTCTAGTAACGAAATCTATATGTAGATAGAATGTTGAAACTGGTAGCCACCACTAAGTTAATGGTTCACACAAACACAACACAAATCGATTGTTATTTCAATTACTAAACAGTATTTGCATCTACCATTTAGGACAAGTAATCCATACATATAACAGTCGGTGCTTTTTAGCTATCGTCTAACTTATGTACAACTTGATTGATTCGAGGCACTTTTCAGAAAATATATTTTGTGAAACAGTAGTATCTATCGGAAAAGGCTTAATACAAGACTGACTAATAAGAGATAATTTTTGGTGCATACTTTCGTAGATAGAGTAATGATATCTTTGAGAATTTGAACTTACATCTTGATTGAAGACGTCCTTCGGCATTTCGTTCAGAGTCTTTGCACTCAAGTGATGTGGCGCGGTGTAGTGTCGCCTCTTCTCCTTTGGCACCTGCCTCCTGTGCATAGAGCCGTTCTTGTGCCCGTCGGAGACCTCCGTTATGATCTGCTTAGCGGCCTCGCTCTTGAATATGGGCGACAGCTCCATATTTGAGCGAGTTAGGCTGACGATACTACTGGTTTTCGACAGAGGGTCGTTGGTCAGCGTTCGAGAACTGTCGGTTGGGCTGTTCAGGTATTGGGTGGACAGCGAGATGGTGCGGTCGTAATTGGACCTGTCGTAGCTTATGTGGTAGCTGCTGCTTAGAGAAGAGACGTCGCGCGAGTAATCGTAGTTCGACAGCGAGGGGCTGGACGGGAACTTCGGGCTGAGCTCCATGTTCTTCTCGGTCAACCGGAGATAGCTTGGCGGGTCCACGTTCGAAGGCTTGGAGTAGTATTCCTCGTATTTGCTGTGATCGGCCCTTGAGAGGGACGAGGCCCTGGTGTAGTTAGAGGGCTGGACCAATTCCTCCTCCAAGAATTGGTCGAGGTTAGCTGTTATGTTATTCCCAGGCCAATCGGACATCGGCTGAAGGGAGCGCTCTCTGTCCCTCTGACGTCTCTCGCTCTCTCTTTTCACGATTCGGACCGTTTTTATTTCCTGCTTTTCGACGTTGGATAGGTTGCCTACGAAAAAAATTTTAGGTCAGTATAGAAAACCTAAGACGGTCCTTGTCATATGCTATCAATTTTATCTTATTTCAATAATTTATGTAAAATTTAGATTTCAGTAACGTGGATGCAGTGTACTAATGTTGACATGCACCTGTGTTCAAAAGCGACAAAAGCATTATTATAGGAAGCAACAATGGACACGTATTGAAAACATATTTGTTGATATCATTTTTGCTGGTGATAACTTGAGTCAAAACAAACATAGGTATTATAAAATTTGCTAGCGAGAGACCAGACCTCACCTCGCTTTACTAGCCTATGCTCTATTAGGCTGGTAGAACAAGGCGAGGTCAAAAATTAATAGCCTATATTCGAGCATATAGATAGGCTGGTAATGCGAGGCGAAGGTGATACTAGGGGAGCATAAATTAGAACTTACTAAAGACGGTGTAACCTATGTTAAAGCATATAGATAGGCTGGTAATGCGACCCCTCCGACCGGGTTCCCGCCTTGACGTGGCGGAGGGGCTTAGTAGCCGTGGCTTGGTCACCCACGGCGAAGCTAAGAGGAACCCACACTGGGCTGGCCTGTGGCGTAAGGCCGGCCCGAGAGGGCCGCTCCGAGTGGGCTCATTGAGCCCACTCTGGATGCGTGCTGGAGGGTGCAGGGGACAGGTCGAGGGTGGTAGAGGTGGAGCCACTCTCCCTGTCTTCTGCTACCGAGGAGGAGTCGCGGGGGAAGAGGAATGTCGGTATTGCGTTGGCCGTGCTCCCTATCCTCCGCGACTCAGTGGGGCTGCACCGCTGATGCAGTGGTGGTGGGGCCGCGGGGGGAGAGGAGTATTGGTATTACGATGCGCCGTTCTCCCTACCCTCTGCGGCCGAAACGTGGTGAGCGGCGGAGCCACAGACCAGGGGGGCTGGGAGGCTTGCTGCTTATTAGCACTGGCTCTCCTGGCTCCCATGGCCCCGGTCAGTGAACTCGGGGGAGTTCGTTGACCGTGAAAATGGGGCCGAGTAGGAAGGCGCGCTGAATGTTCCAGCGCGCCTTACCTGGAGGAGAGGGGAGTTGCTCCCCGTGAGGGGGCTGCTAAGGCGGCCAGCGCTGGCAGAGTCGCGGAAGTGTGCGAAAGCATTCCCGTGACCTGCCGATATGCGCCTAGGTGTAACATCGTGGGGGTTTTAGTCGGTACGAGTCCGACATAACCATGCGTGGATTTGCGTTAGGCATTTCCCCCACGTTATTAAAAAAAAAAAGGCTGGTAATGCGAGGCGAGGTCGAAAGTTACTAGGGGAGCATAAATGTCCATGCTTAGCACTTACTGAAGGCATTGTGCTGCAACTCCTCGCTTGTGATTGGCGAGGTGAGATCTGAGGCGCCGCGCGTGTCGACGTACAGCGGCACGGCGACGGGGCGCCGCTCGTAGTGACCGGGCGCTCTTAGGGCAGCGCCCCCCTCGTATTCCAGCTCGGATTGTCCGTGATCCACAGTGTGACCCGTGTCCAAGTTCGTTTCCTGCCACGAAGACGTTGGGCGACGTTTGCCTTCGGAAAATTAAAAAAAAATACTAATAATTAGACTGAATATACCAGTTGGCCTGTAAAGAAAATAATTTTCACAACACGTGTTGATATTATGATTTACATAACGACATGACAATGAACGCGCGTCTTCATGTGCAAAATGACAACAATACTATACGAGTATTAAGGGGATAAACTTGACTATTGTGGTATGTTTGTTTTAAATTATTTATCTATTCCACTTAAACGAAAAAGGTTGAATTCTATGAAAAATTAGAAAAATCAGTACCTGGCATGGAATCGTGAGTGGTCTGCAAAGCACGCGACTGTTGAGTGAGATGGCGGACTGCTCTCGACAATTCTTGCCTCTGTCGCTGCAACGCCGACACTAAATGTTGGACGCGAGAAACCTCTGAAAATTTAATCATAAAAAGTCAAATGATTATCACATTTTCATGGTATTTGTACTTCAATTTAAAGCAGAATAACTAGACGGCTAGGTTATATTGATAACTGTACTCCTTCCTACTAGACAGACAGACTGTGTCTTCCTACTGCGTATTGGAAAGTAACAAAACCATTATATTGATTTACAGAGGAAACGTCTATTTAATACAATGTATTTATTAGCACTATTCAATTTCTTTAGGAAAAGACAACAATAAATTTGAAAATTCATTGATAAAGCGAACCAAATTACTTGCGGTGGTTTCGAAGCAAAATGGTGTTTGTGGTAACTTTACTTTGAGGAAACCCTAGAGTGCCAGAGCGAAACTGCTTACGACAGCGAAGGGGAGATCGTCCGCAGCGAATAGTGTGGTTTACGAATAAAACGAAGCGTATCATCTAATACATCCGAGTTCGTCTAGCCTTCATCAACATCATGTCAGCCTGTCAGAGTCCACTGCTGAACATTGGCACCTAATCCAAAACTGTCACAAGCTAAGCGTAGCACAATCCTACCTGCACCTGCTAGAATTAGTGCGGCTAGCATCTAATCCTTTCATCCCGCATATTCACAATTGTCAATTCAAACGGCCAGTCCACTTCCATCCTTCGCCGAGAGCGGTTAACTAAAGAAATTCCTTTATCGTAGATTCCCGTTATCTTTATTGATCGTAAACATAGGTAGAGGTTATGAGATACAGCCTATACATGTCCCATAGCTGGGCAAAGGCCAAAGGCCTCCTCTACACAGAGGGTCACAATCCACCACGCGACCCACTGCGGATTGGCGGGATTTCACATATCTTCGAAACATTCTATTTTTTTGTCAGCAAGATGTTTTCTTTCATCGCTGAGCACGTGATAAGTCAACACTTAAAATTATTTCATTGGTTGGCACCGGGGATCGAACTCAGGTTGCTGGAGTATATTGAATTAAAAGCGAGCGTCCGGACAATTATTTATTTATTTATTTATTGGATTACCAACGCAAGTAACAGTCGCAGTCTAAATTAAACAGGTTTGAGATATATATTTAATTGTAACTTACAATCATAGGTGACCACATCATGCATAATAATTTGCTAATATTACACTGGCGCCGCGTGTCAGATCGAAACTTGAATATGGCGTTCGTATCAGGACCCCTGTGGCCTTAGTTCTTACCGTCCTCCAGCAGGGCGGTGGGGTGCGCGGCGTGCGGGGTGCGCGCGGGGGGGTTCTTTCTGCGCGCCTGCAGCGCCCTCCGCAGCTGCTGCAACTCGCTCTCCAAGCGCGCGTTGTCCGCCACGGTCTGCTCCAGTTTCTGTGACGTCACCCGCGTCCCATATTAACACGCTTCTATTAGCTTCACCTACCTGTATTTTTGTATGTTTGTAACGGAGTCTTCGAACGTTATTTTAATCCACTTCATAATCTGACGTGATTAATTTAAAGCTTAGCAAACTTAATTCATTTATTGTCGCGACGGTAACGACACGCTGTATACGTCGAAGCATATTCCACGGTTCTTCCGTCATTCTTCGTTAACAAATGAATATCATTCACCACAGTTTATAGTGGAAGCATTTTCACTTAAATATTTTTTGTACGGTTAGTAGTTATAGTTTTCGGTCAAACGAGCGTAGTTTTCGAGGTTACATTATCTCTTCCCCACACATTTTGTTTGTTGTTAGCCCGCTTAGCTTTCACTAACCCTTACAAAAGCAACTGAACTACATAAATTACATTGTACAGGCCATTTTCAATGTAATTTACATCTCGGCTATGTTTTACATGTATTGTAACTCATATTGAAGAACCAGCCAACCTGCAGGATTGCCTCCGAATGGAAACGTTGAATAAAATTGAAAGTAGTCTATTGATCGAATACTAGTAAAACAAAAAAAAAACGTTTTAAAAATAAACAAAACTGAGATGTGCAATTCCAAAGTATCGACGATGAAGTCGAAAGACATTTTGGATTTTTTTTAAAGAAATTTAGTCACAGTAAATGAATAAAAAAATAGTGATTGCGCTATTTGTTTTTGTTTTAGAGCAATTGGAATTTGGAAAATATATTAGTAAATAATAAGTGCATGATATAGATGAAAACCTTATAAACCTTAGAATTGTGCGCCAACATGGCGTGCACGCGCGTCAATTCCGCCTCCAAGCCGCCGCTTTTGTTGTAAGCATGCATATCACCTCGAGGCACACTATCTAGTTTGCTGCGCACCCCTGAAAAATCTGTTTATTTTAATTCTTTATTTATTAAATAATGAAATATATTTACGTCAAACGATATGGTCGTTAGGGCTGTCAGCAGACAAAAACTGGTAAACACATTATCTATTAATTTAAGTAATATGTGCCTTTTTACAATGGATAGAACATTTAGAGGAAACGTTAATCCTCGTTTCATTGTTGTAGCTGACGACTAAAGAGAGTTTTATTATTACTAGTAATATTAGATAATATTACGAATAATAATATAATTAAATAAATTGTAATAATAATATAACAATACTCAATATTTCAGATTTTTAGGGTTCCGTGCCCAAAGGGTAAAACAGGATCCTATTACTAAAACTCCGCTGTCTGTCTGTCCGTCTGTCACCAGGCTGTATCTCATGAACCGTGATAGTTAGACAGGTGAAATTTTAACAGATGATTTATTTCTGTTCCCGCTATAACAATAAATACAAAAAAAACATTTAAGTGAGGCTCCCATATAACAGATATGATTTTTTTGCCGTTTTTATAGATTCCGGACCCTTCGTGCGCGAGTTGGACTCGCACTTGGCCGGTTATTTTATTTTCTTAACAAAGTCTTTCCCGTACCAGGAATTCATTAGTTTATCGTGCGAGATTTCTCAAATATGAAAATCGAATGACGAAAAAATGAGACACCAAACAGAACCAAAATTTTGTCGAAACCACAACAAGACGCTAATGCAATAGCATTGAACTGTTCTAGCAGTGACGTTGGCATTTATTCGAGTCGAAGTCGAATGTAGTAGTTGTTAATTTGATTAGTGTAAATAATAGTATATAACAGAGTGAAAAATTATGCTTAGATTAAAATAGACTTGTCTTACGCCTGGTTTCTGAAACACTGATCATCGTAGAAGTCAGCTAATAAGCTGTCGAATGGATTTTCAAATGTTATTTGAGCTACCAAAAGGATGGTTAAACTCTCTGAATTGATCAGAATGGTCTTCTTAATGATCTGAATGTTTTGATCTTAATGATCAGGGCGTTAGTGTTATAAATACCCAGCTCAATCAAAGAGCAATAGATATTTTTCTGTATATTTCGTTTAAACAGTGGTTTATATGTATTAATTATTAAGTTATGTTACTGCCTTTTTTTCTATTTTCGCAAGTGCATGCTCTGTTTATCTATCTAGAAGAATGCTCTTGGGTGTTTGAAGCAATTGACAGTTAATGAACTTAAGATGTACCTACTCAGTTTTCTCGCATTAATAAAGAAAAATATATATATTACCAGTCAATAGGGTGTCAATTGTATCTTTGTCTGTCTTTAGTCCTTGCAAAATCGCCGCCTCGTCAGCTAGCTCCTGCTCCAACGCCCATAGCTCCGCAACTCTTGCCCTCGCAGCCTCAGTTTCCAAGGATTTACCGGCGGCCGCATTTTCCAACCACCTTAAAAAATGTTTATTAAAGAAAGTTCCGCTAATAGTTCAGAAGTAGAATCTCTTTTATTTTTGGTGGTTTTTCCCATTAAAAGTGAAATGCTACCTCACGCGCTTGACAGCAACTAGAAACCTAAATTCTGTTTATCCTGTAATCGACCATTCGTTAAAAACTTCGTAGCTATTCAATTTTTTCTTATTAAAATTTTCCCGCTTAAAATTAAATTCTTACCGCTGCTGTTCCAAAGCGTGTTCCGCCAGAACTTTCTGTCTTAGCCTCTGATTTCTTTCTAAGCGCTCTATCGTCGATCCAGGTCTATTGTAAAGTGATCCCAGTTTCACCATATTGTCAACCAGGTGCACTAAAGGTTTGCTCTTTTCGTACTGATGCTCCAAATCCATGAGTTGTTTCTTCAATTGTTCCAATCGTTGCAAGCTTTCTTCCCGCTCCATCGCTTTAAGAGAGCTGAGACAATCCTATGAACAACCGACTTTGTTATTACACTGAGTTTAAATTACTTCAAAAGTCAGAAGCTGGTCACAAAACCGCTAAACATCTACCGGATAAATAAATATGATAGATAAAATGTGAATTTTAGATAAATTATCAAACAAAAATCCTTTTCAAATAATATTTTACATTGAATATTTGAACGATTGGCGAAGTAAGCATGTCGACCGCTTTATACAGTAGTTACAGCTTCTGGGTGAGATACCCGGAAGAAGCAGGTTTAACTCCGAAAAACTTTTCGACAATTTATCTACGAAAATTAAACAAATTTTAAGTTTTATCTTAACTGTAGACACTAGCACTTAAAATGAAATTAATCATAAATTATAGACAAACATAAAAAGAAGCACCTCTATACTACTTATTTGTGCACAGCACTGCTCTATAGATCGATGTGTCGCCGCGTGTCGTCTCCTCAATTGTATTAAGAGCAACACCAACTCTTCGTGTGTTCTGCCCAAGAGTTCGCCGGCCGTTGGAGTTTCACCTATCTGATCGCCTTGACCCGTTGGATGCACCTCCCTTCGCTGATGACGTATACAAGAGGCCGAGTGACAAACAAAAATCGCAACAAAACTAATGAGCGAAACAAAAAAGAAAAGCCAGCTGCACATCTAAGATATATAAGAATCTGAACTTCGATACAAACCAAGTCCTCATTGGTAATGTCCCTTCGAATTCTGGGACTGACTGCACTGATTGGTTGTTGTAAATTTCTCGGAGGTGATCTTGCAGTCGCCCATGAATCCTGTGTTGTATTTAGCGCGTGCAACTGAAAGAAAACTTACACTGCAAAGTCCGATTTTGAATGTTCAATAATGTGTTTAATCGAGTAAGACCTCAATTTTTAAGTTCTTTTTACTCGCAGAACCTGCGAAAAAACCCAATCAAAATTGATAGCAATTTTTTACAGTTTTAAACACTGGTTTACCAAACGTATGACTTAAGAAAAACAACTTCAAGAAACTTGCATATTTAAGAAATATGAACACCATGGAGAATTAGGTTGGCAACTTGGTGGCTAAGTCCACTGTCTGTGTGTGAATAATGCCTTTGTCCAGTCGTGAGAAAGGTATGTATAGGTTGTACTTTACTTACATTTTGCTGAGATGTTGACAACTGTTGAGAGTTGTAATGATCATTTGATTGTTTCTCTTCCACCCATCTTACTCTAGGACTGACAGCGCGAACTGGTATATTAGCATCTCTATTATTTCGTCCAATTGAAGTATTGCTTCCTAAGAAAGCTTTCTTTGATAATGTTTGTGGAGTAGTGTTATTATTAGTAGCTGATTCTGTATTCGTGCCGGGCATAGTCGTTGAAGCTAAAAACCAAATTAAAATATTGAAAACCCTTTAAAGTATATCAAAATCCTTAAATAATTCCTATTCTTTTGAAACTATGGTACAAACATGATAAAGTGTGCAAAGGTTGCATATTAGTATATTATTTCCAGTTTATTACTATGTACACTTTGCAACCCATGTTAAAACTGGCATGCTTCACGCTTTTGCTGTACACCTTATCTTGTTTAAACCCTTCTTCGAAACCAGACAATTTACAAAATAAGACCTATTTAAGAGTGTAGTCGCATAAAAATGCCAGAACATTATATACAATTCGTTTAAATGACTTGCTTTGCTAATAATTGTAATAGGAATGTAACTTACATAGTACACCTTACGGGACCTTAAACGTTATAGGATACCTTCATTGCTTGCACCGTCTGTCCCGGTATCGGTGTGAAATTCGCCCACGAGCATACCAGTTCCACTTTGCGCCCTTCCCACCCTTCCTTTCATTAATCCACTGGACATTAGGTCCCATTGTCTTAGTTTTTCCCTATCAATCTCGAACCGTTTTCGACTACTATTTTTAACCGTGCTCTTTAAGTCTACAGCAGCTGGAACTGAACCAGTAATTTCTAAGGAGCTGACTGCTAACTGTTCGTATACTCCTTCGTCCGAACGCACGTTACATTGCTCGGTTTCCTCAGCTAAGCTTACATAGACGTCATTCTCATCTTCTTTCTCTTCCTCTTCTGAGCACATAGAGTGTATAGCAGGATAGTGGTCTTTACGTCTTTGAACATGTCCTTGAATTTGGCAATTCACATACGTTGCATTCCGAATAATCTTGTTCGGTGTAGTTTTCTTCAAACGCTTAATACTGTTCAAGCCGCATGCGTCCATTCCAACGCGATCAGCGAGAGATTCACCTGGAACTGTATCCAAGTCATCCATGGATCGAGCGTGCCTGTGCGATACTCGTCTTAAATTGTCCCTCCATAAAGCATCTTCATCCCAATGTTTCTCTCCTTGACATAAAACATTTTCATAGGTACTTGCTTCCGCTTCAGCATCGTAATAAACCGTATTAGATGAATTTCCACTGCAGTGTGATGACATACTAGCAGATGATAGTTGCATCGAACTTGTATTTAACGAAGCTTGATTTGACACATCTTGAATGTGGTTTTCATCGTTACTAGTCTGATTGGAACTTCTTTTACAACCGAGGCTTGATATTAAATTCATAGATTCAGGTATTTTTGAACTTTTACCACCAGAAGACTCATAAATATTTTTCATATCAATGTCGGAGTCCTTGTCAGCTGCACTCAAAAATTCGACTGAAACACTCCTTGCTGTTGAAGCTAATTCAAAAGAACGATCAGACATCAATACTTGATTACTACGTATTGGATTATGAATGTGGGATATTTCATTTTTTTTGTGCAACGGACCCCTGCGTCTTTGATTGTTTAATTTTCGATGAAGGTTAGTATTTTTTAAAAAATGAGAAGTTGGCAGTACATTAATGTGTTCCTGTGACGAAAGATCAGAATAGTAGTAAGGTGCACTGTGTTCCGTAGAACTCTCCCTACTGTGAAAGCCTGTGGTTGTTGATGAAGCATTAGTACCATTTCCGCTTTTGAGTGCTAATTTTTCGTTTTCAAATTCTTTTATCTTATTTGCCGCAGAATTGTTATTCAAGTTTTTTCTTAGCAACGTTCCCTCGTCATTGTTTTTACAGTAGAATGATATTGGAGATTTAGCTACACCCACAGAGCTGCAGGAGCTTTGAGAACCTATATAACCCGAAACATGATCTTCGAGATTTCTGTATTGAACGCCTATATTCACTTTATCATCGGGGACTGCACGATTACTAACAGGCGTACTGGAGGAACGTTGATGCGCAATATTTATGTGATCATGACTTTTTCCGTTCTTATTTACCATATGCATCTCATTCGCTATATCCCCAACATGTGTATTTTCGTAATTATTTTCTATATCATTCGAATTTGCAATAGGTTGCAAATTTTCCAAATATCTATCTAGATCTATGTTAGAAATTAAATCATTATGTTGAGAAATTTCCGAAGAACTTAACTCGAATAATGAATCATCTGAAAGCGGTCTTCTTTTAACCAAGCTTACATCTTTAAAGCCACTGAAGCTGTTTAAATCTGTCATAGAGTTACTGCCAAGGCTGGTTACTTCGGAGGATAAATTTGAAGGAGTCATATCAAACTTACTACTAATATTAGATTCTAATGATAACCTTGAAGACTCCCTATCAGCGTTATAACTTTGAATGGATTCAGTATCGAGAGCACAGCAGTTGTTCTGTTCAGAGATTAAATTACTATATAAATTAGGTGATGTGTTTTTTATGTTTTTTTTATCGTTTGTCAAACTTGCTCTGCTGTTCCGAATTTTCTCACCCCTCGTAAGAGTATCGTGGATTGAAGTTCGGCTACCATAAATCATTAAAGACGTTGTTTTTCTTTTTGCGCTCATCTTATTTTGATTCTCGCTTGTCAACATTTTTAATATCGAACTGTCCTGTGGTATATCAGACTTATCTAGTTTTTCCAAAATGTATTTAGATAATGCTTCATCAGATAAGTCTTCACAAGGTGGTGATGAACTAGGTATAGGAGGCAGTGGATAAACTTCATTGTCAGAGCTAGTTTCTCTGCATAGGGTAGTCCTACTTCCACTGAGATAATATGAAGCTGGCCGAAATGTATCAGAAATACTCAATCTATTGAAAGGCGTTTCTAGTGAAATGTCCCTTGAAGCTTCATCATCAGCGTCTGAGCAGTCAAACCTTTCTTTGTTCTTCTCACCTTTAGAAACTCTTTTTAATGTATGTTGATTAGTATCAGCGAAATTCGATGCGGTATCAGTAATGCATTTATCTCTTAAAACTACACTTTCAGATTCACTATCTTCAATCTTACCATTTTTAACTTCCATATACACTGGTTCTACTTTACCATTATTAACACAAACTATTTCATAAGTTTGCATATCTTCTTCATCGTTACCCAAACCCATTTCAACATAAGGATTATCCTCATAATTTTGAGGCATGGTTTGATCAAATACGCTCAAATTTTGAAGAATTGTTTTATGAGGTGGTTCTAATACTGAAGTTTTACGAGGGCTCATTGGAAGATAGTGCTCTTCCCCTAGGGATCGTACCGGTGGTGTAAAAGATTTCTCACTTTGTTGGTCTTCGCTTACGTTTTTATCGTTTTCACTTTCATCTGGTTTTTCTGAGTCACAGTCTTCAGTATTATTAATTTCTGTATCAGATACTAGTAAAACTTCATCCAAATCGTTGTCTGTATATTCAAGATATGTTTCAGATTCTGCTTCACTGTCACGCGTTTCGTAACCACTGTTATTAATAATTTCATTCATATCTTCTTGGCATGCAATATTTTCGCCTCGCTCATTACTTTCATCCTCAATGATATCCTCATCATGCTTATACTTTGGACAAAGAATATTTTCGTATGTATTTTCGTCAATAACGTGCTTTTCTTTTTCTATCATAGGAACGATATTCTCAGTGACGGAGGGCGCATGAGTGTTTTGTGGTTGCATAATAATAGGGCTGTTTTTCACTTTAAGGGACCTTCCTGCCTGCGTATCTCTCGGTATTTGCAGATCAGTTCCCGATGTTTCCTCTGAGGTACAAAATTTTTATTTTACTCAACCGTTTTTAAAGTAATACTCGATTTAATTATCTTTGTAATTAAATTTGAATGTTAGTAGAATCCTTTAAAGGCTTGAGGTTAGAATAAATAACAACCCTTTGCATAATCCACCAGTAACATAAAACTTGTAACCCACCACCGCATACTAACTATTAATAATCTTGTTAGTTACATAGTCCCAACAGGCAGGAAGGTACCTTTCCGCAAAGCAAAGTCATTTTAAACTACTTCTAATTTTTAAACATAATAGTGATTAAAATAAATTGGTGTTATATTAATGGCATTTTTATTGTGAAGAGAATCATAGATTTAACAAGTTTAAATGGATGAGAACATTGTTTGGTCTTTAAAAAAATAATAGTAATATAATCAAAATAAGATATTTGTTACGAATTCATATAATTAATTAATATAGCACTAAAGTAAAAGTAATACAACATACTTGCATTAAAATTTTAAATATAAGATCAAAGATAACCTTCATGACAATTATCTTTGTTCATGCACAAATTACCTTTATTTAAAACAATACAAACCATGCTGTATTTGCATTATTTAAAATAAATAACGCTTGTTCTGGCAATAAAACTAACTTAAAATGTTTCTATTACTCATGCTAAAAATCTACTATAATATTTTACACATACCTTCATCATCGGAGGAATAGCTGTTGTAAGAAGCATTTGTGTATGTTTTTGGCTTGTACTGATCGGATCTCAATGACTGCCGGCTGTGATTTAGAGATCGCGCTAAAGAAATAGTCGCCGGAGTACTTTTTCGCGTTAGCGGGCTTTGCAACATCCGCTGCTTCCATTCTAGAAGACGCTTCATTGACTCCTCACGCTAAAATGTGACAAGCATAATTTAAATTTTTATGGCTTACAATGCACTACGAGGTTGCGACATAAAGTTCGCCGAATCTGGGGTATGGTGGGCGGAAGGGTCACCTTCACTAGTTGTGAAAGTCATTAAGAACATAAGTACAAATCTTTATTAAAATTAATGTCATTACTAACTGAGATACAGTCCAATAAAAAAGGTAAACCGATTTTAATATTATAAATATTACAACATGGAGAGAAATAAGCTTCGCATAGAAGCTCCTTACAAAGCATCTAAGACTAGATTGAAGAGATTTCTTCTGTTTACTGGGACTCTGGCTCTGGTAAAACCATATTTTACAACTGGTACAACCTCTTTAAATATGGCAGAGATTGATGATAATTAACGCATGTTTGTCAAAAAAAACGTCGGCTAAATCATATTGGAAGACGCCCGTTTGAAGAAGAAGCAGCTTACGAAAATGATTGGTGTGTCAGTTAAAACCATTTTGATCATCCTACACTAGTATCATGGCGTACAAAGTTGTGCACAAAGTGCATGTTAAGGATACTCGAGACGCATCAACAGCAGTGGTGAGTTGAATGTTGTCGCGAGATTTTGGCTTTCTGTAGCGAAAACTTGGCTAAAGTTTTGTATCGAATTATGCCAGCACCGAAACTTGGGTTCATTGTTATGAGTCTGAGTCGAGGGCAGGATTCCATGCAGCGGCACAAAAAGAGCTCACAACCCCCAAAGAAGTGTTCAAGGTGTCCCCGTCGGCTAGGCATCTAATGGCCACAGTTTTCTGGGATTGAGATAGAAGCCTTTTTATTGTCTATAAAGCCATGGGTGTCTCTATAACTCTACAGTACTACGTTGCACTACTGGAATGCTGCACTCGTATAGAAGACTTAAGCTGTGATAGCTGTAATACCAAATAGTGGGCTTCTAAATTTTCGAATGGTATATCCTCAATACAGCTCCTAAAAATGAAAACAGAGCTTCGAGGAAAGAAATTTTTCAGCGATGAAGAGATGCCCAAATTCGGCTTATTTAAAAAAAAAGACAAAACGTTTTTTTAAGGTATAAGTAAATTAATTAAGAAATATAGAAAACATATTGAGAAAAATTAAAACCAATTATTTAAATACCATTAAATCTGATTTACTCTTTATTCTTTACCCTCCATTCCACGAACTTTTGACAGACCCTCGTAGGTTAAAGAAATGTTGATGAGAGCTATTTCCACTTTTTAAGAAATTCAAACCTTAACACATCGCTCACATAACGCACAAATACCTGTTGTATTTTCTTTTCGCCTTCTCTCTCTGAAGTAGACGATGGTAAACGGGCACTCGCTGATCTCATAAATCCGTCAGCATTAGGGTCATATCTATTAGATTCCTTGGCATATCCACTAACATTGGAGCCGTCACTCATAACACTGCCACTTCTGTTCAAGTAATCCTTTTGGCTTTCTTTCTCTCTCAACGTCCAATTTGAATTCAAACCTTCAATATCACTATATTTAGAATTGTAACTTACGTTATCCCGGCTGCTTCTACTCATTCCAAGTTCAGTCTCGTAATTATTATTAGTGATTTGGGAATATGCTGAGTTCAGTTGTTTTTCGGCTAAACCACTAGCATATTTGGCCAATGGAATTTGAATATTACGAGGTCCAATAGCCTGCTGTTGCAAATATTGGGCAGACTGTCGCATTTTCTCGGCATAACTCTCTTCGGAATAATACCTATCTGAACTAGGATCGTAATATGAATTAATATCGAGGCTGGATTTAGGCCTCTGAGGTTGAAGGGTCGGATCGCCTAAAGTTCGAGCTGGTGCCGGTTTATGTTGTGTTTCTGATTTAGATTCATATTCTAAAAAGTCTGCACTATGAGGCCGTGGCATTGGTGGCTGGATACCACTTGATTGCATCTTTTTTCGCCTTAATACAGCTGGTCCACTAAACGTCTTTTCTTGCGTCTGTAACAAATATACATTGAACACAAAAATTCAATAATGCGTCAATTACAATTCATATAACATTTACAACTTTAAATCTATCTAAATTACACTATTTAATAAACCTACTCCAAGTGTTTTGGTCTCAATTACGCTTTATGCATTTCCTCGGTTAATAAATTAAATAAATAATGTTAATTAAATAAAGAAACAGTAAAACTTACGTGATTGGAAATCTGGTCTTGAGCCTGTTTGTGACTAGATATACTAACATTATCCTTAGCTTGAAACTGCTTTGGTGCCTTCACATAGGTTTTACCATATTCGTTTTCGTTTGAGTAAATGTCCTCATAGTCTTCAATTTTGTCTTTATTGTAAGTCGCAATTGACGCCCTGCCGTATGTGTCTGGTGTTCGCCTTTCTATTAATCGTTCATTTACAGTACTGCCAGATCGGCTCGGTCTATTTAACTCACCGTATACATCTTTGCTGTAAGCACTTGAATTGGCGTTGGGCGTGGATTCAGTACGCGTTTCCGAATAAGTCTCACTGTAACCTAAATTTTGACGACTCTGTTCTGAAAGTGGAGTATTCATGTTTTGAATATCGCAGTCCTTTGCGGGGCTTTCGTTCTGCTGAATATCTTGTAAGAATGGATTGCGCTGCATTCTCTGTTCATACAGATGACCCATATTCGGCTTCGGCTCTTCAGTCTGTTGTTGTTGCTGTTGATTTCTATTCCTATTTTCAAAGTAAGGAGATTGAGGATTAGATCTATACATGGACGAACTATATTGATTGTTCTCGAGTCTTTCCGTTATGGTGTTAGTTAACGGTAAGGACAGATTATGAGTGTCGTATGGCCGTTTCGTCTGATACTGTGGTGGTTGTTGGACTGGTGGTGACTGTGGAGAGCGTATGTATGTTGCTTCTTGATTCGAACTACTTGGATAATTGGTATGGTCTTGATAACGCGTATTATTAGTGCCTTGGCTGTAGTGTGATGCGGGTTTTTTGAGTAAATCATAGTTGGGATCATACCTGTAACGTTTAAATAATTTTAACGTAAGACATCCAAGTACCACGAGAAATGTAAATAAATAACATTAAGATATACTATATCTTACATATCAGGGCTTGGTGAATTATATCCATCGTTCGACCTTCTAGGTTTGGGCGGGGCATTTGCGTAAGTCGGTCCTGCTTCTTCTCCATCCTATAATGAAACATTGAAAATTTAACTCACAAAGGGAATGTTATGAACTTTACATCAATAGTTAATCACTACAGTACTCAGTTGAGTGACCACAGATTCAGTTATGTCTATGTACCCCCGATGCCGTCATTACGTCCAGTTATAACAACAGAGTGATCATTGTCCTTGGTCACGCTCTGTCGAACTAATTGTCAATCACCCGCGCCGTTATAAATTCGAATTTTACACTAGATAATACCCACCTCATTTTTGGTAGTTGTTCGATCACTCTGTTTTTGCGCCTGGTCACTGAAAATTGGTACAAACTGTATTAATATTAGTTTTTGGTAGACAGTTTTAATAATAATTATAAGAATTATTTCTGAATAAAAGTCAGCACAATAAATATAAATAAAATATGAAACAAGGCTTGTTCACTAATTCTTACATAGGATTTTGCATTAGTGCCGCCATTGTTAATGCCTTCACCCATTTCAACATGGCTTCTTGGTCCAAAGCTGCTAATATATAGGTACGCATATTTGCATGTTCCAATTTAAATGCGAATTTCCGCAACACCTTGTCCTCGGCTGTACATGCTGATACTTTGTACGATGGAAGTAGAACCGATCCCAAAAGTTTCTCTTCGTCTTGACCTAAAACATAACGAGTACATCAAATATTTTAACACCTATTATGCAAAATTTTGACCGAAAAAATATAGACTTACTTTTGTAGTAAAATAAACAGTACTCCGACAAGACGAACCATCTTTTTCTCCAAACCTTGAGGCCGTCCGAACCTTGTTTATATAAAATACCCGACATGGCGACAGGAGCGGACGGTATCCTTTGAGCGATTGGTGAGCGTAGCGCTTGATTGCCACCGCTGCTTCTACGGCTCTCGGATGACGGCGACTTGACACTGGGGCTGCTGGATTCGCTAGACTTCATTGGTGAAACTACCCCAACATTAGACTTCTGCGATTGATTGTGGAAATCAGAAGGCGGTGACTGACTCTTAGCTTTATCGTCCTCGTGTTTTCTATAGCGCTCTGTCTCTCTAAAATCAGATGGTTGATTCGACTGCCACTGCGCATCATGATACTGCCTAATCGGCTTATCAGGCTCTCGGAATTCGTTACTCTTAGCGTACTCTTCGACATCCCTTTGTAGGTCGTACTCCTTGAAGTCGTTTTTACTGCTGTACCGATCCAAGTCCCTATAAGATCCGTCGGAGTATACGCTGTTCTGTAGATTTGGTGGCGGTTGGATTCCATGAATCTGTTGAAGCAACAGTTGGCGTTCAGCAAATTTCTGCTGCTGGTGCATCTGAGCCTGATTCTGGTAATGCAACTGTTGTTGCATCTTCATCTGCTGAATTTCATTGTACTGTCTTCGCAACAGCTCTGTATTGCTTTGCGGTCCTATTCTATTCGAATAAGGAAGGTACGGCTTCGAGCCGTACTGGTTCGCGTTAGGCCTGTACATTGGTTGATGATTTTGGTATATTTGATTGGTATCTTTCGGTGGGTTACGTTTAAGATAATCCTGATAAACCTCGGCGTTGTATCCTTTAGGGATGTTGTGTAGTAAATCGTGGTTAACGTTTTGGTCGGTGTGGACTTCCGTCCTTTCTACTCTAGGTGGGGACTGTGGGTAATTGTAATTATCGTTAGCTCCATAATGTCTCGCAAATTCATGATTATGCCCGGTGCCGTATAAATCGTGTCTATTTTCTAATAGCGGTGATCTCGCGTTCATATTTAATTGATATTGGCTTTGCAGAAGTTGGTGCATGACGCCGTTTGGTTGGATTTGGCTGGTTTGGGTTGATATGTGGGTGGGCAATTGCGTCTGCTGCGAATTATATATGTGATCTGGATGAACATGATGGGCCATTAAATGCTGTTGGGTGAGAGGCTGTTGTGTCGCTGGCATGTTCTTTTTATTCTCCATCGGGAATTGTGTCTGGGTTATCGGAGGGTCAAGCCTGCAACAAATGAATGCAATTTTTACTACGTTTGTTCCGAATTTACTATCGCAGGTTATTCACCCATGGATTGTGACATAATTAAATTTAAACGCGGGCACATTGCGTGCGGTACACCACGCGTTTCAATTCGGATTGCTCAATCGCTGGGGCGTTATCTCCGACCCCACGATAAAGTGCGTGATCTAAAAACCTTAACGCTCTCCTATTGCGCGTTATCACGTAATATTCTAAATTAATGTTGAGTTATTGACTCACGGGTATTAAGGCAGATCAAAAGAAGCTAAATAGATAATTATGATATTTGCGTTTTTATTAACACATCGCCAGGAAAAAAATTATTAATTACCTCTTTTCTTATCAGTTATTGACATATTTGTGCAGTTATGCAGTATGAATATAAAAATTCATACTGCATAACTGCACAAAAATATTTAATAAAGATTGTTAAAGCAATACACGTTTAATGCATTTATTAGACCATACTGCACGTCGATGTTTATTAGTATATTATAATTATTTTTAGGATAGTGTAAAGTATAAACCGCAGAAAACGGTAAGTACCAAGGTACTCACCTAGCCCTATCTATAATTTTAAAACATAGGATGTTTAAAATTAGCCTTACTAAAGGGTTAATACAAATATGTAGATGAACATAAGTACGCTTAAAAGGAACAACACTTCAGAAAAGAGCACTCATTTGTTCCCACGCATATCGATTGTAAAGTATATTTAGAACCCCGTGAGAATTCCTCAACCACTTGATTAGCAACAACGAACTTTAATCGCCGTAAAATTTAACTACTGATTTATGAATTGGACATGTTATTATTATACTTCCTCACAGAATAATGAAGCAATCAAACTTTTGCATAACATAACATAACGTCAACCTCAGAATGTACAACTACAATCGAACAGTAATGTTTTGAATTACGAAGCATAAAACAAAAATGCAGTTTTAAATTGTATAACTTTTTATAACTTTCATTATTCTCACCTCAAAATGACCCTGAACGTATTTTATGTTCCTTTCTTTTTTTTTAGGTGAAAAGTTGCCCAGCGAGCAGACGGTTCAACTGATGTTAAGTGAATACCGCCGCCCATGTTACACACTGTTACATCCGAGGGTTTCAGATGCGTTGACAACCTTTTGAAAATTGGGCTCCGGCCACCTCACTCACCAGAGAAAACGCGAAAGTATTATGCTTTCACTTTACGCCGGTCTTCTGTGAGGTCGTGGTACTTACCCGAACGAGCCTGCCCATTCGTGCAACAGGCTGAGTGCAGGCCCGAGGCTGCTGCGTGACCCTACCATCGTAAGCGTGGCCCTACCACCGTGATCCTTATTCCTTAACATCCATTTTCATGTTTAACTACCACATTTTAAAATGTGACAGTATATGCAACCGTAAAAATAAAACGGGCCCTAGCAAATTATTCTTAGAAGTAATCAGACCCTTACTGGATCTGTATCAACATTATCGTTTCAGCCTGTTTGTGTCCATTGCTGAACATAGTTCTCTCCACAGACTGCCACGAAGCGAGATCTTGAACCACCTGTATCCAACGACTTTGCGCACATTTGCACAGATCACACTCCGTGTTAATCAGTTATTATTCTTAAAGGCTTCATTCTAAGGCATCTTCATTATAAACAATTATGGCACAGAAATTATTTGTAGACAAAACAATTAACTCCTGCCGGTATTAAGGCCTTTGGACAGTATGGGTACAATAAACTTTCCGCAGCGTAGCGTATATATATGCTCTAATTATAGCGTATATAATTAGAGCATATATACTTCAGGCAGACTCTTTGCTCCACGGAATGTTTTGTTTCAAAAGTCACAGGGCGGGTATCTTTAATTCACCACAGACCGTAAGAAACGTCCACTTCTGCTACAAACAATTCTTTAAATATCATCTTACGTTGCCTGTGGAATTCAAAATTTCCGCTTCTTTTCTTGGGCGAACGAAATCAGTGTGATAGAATAAATAATGTTTTAACAAAAAAATTTGTAATTATTTTCTAGTGTAAAAATGTAAATTAATGTCCAGTCTATTAGAATATGAAATAAATTTTCATAAAAAAAATTTAATGTATTAAATAAATTACATATTCTATTCATTTTTAGTTAATAATGCAATGAAAAGACTTTTCTGGCGTGAAACTTTCTTTCTACTTAGTAATTTCTCTTGTCTTTTGTTGTTCGTGACAGTGATAACGCAGTGTGTTATTCGAAAGCCATGAGATGAAATGACGTGTATCGTTTTTGCGCAAATATAGAACACTAATGTCCGGAAACGGTAAAATGGATGCCGATGCGAGTCTATTGTCAATCCATACATATCCCACTTCCTAGCAGTCGCCCATTAATGAGCAACATCAGTCAACGTTTCGTGCTGGACTACGGATGCATTCTAATGGTCTCTATTTCCAACCTCCTACCTATATTAACGCGCCCTTCCGTTAGAAAACTAAGCGTGTTTAGAAACCACTTAACTTCACAGAAGACAAGCGTGACTATTTGGAAATTATTAATATCTCAAGAAGAAAGAAAGTATATTTCCTCTTCAGAAGAAAGAAAGAAAGTATATTTATTTATCGAGAAAAAGGACGCACACAACAAAGAAAATTTTAAGTTCAACAAAAAAAGGAATTATTGCAGTAATACGTGGGTACTGCTGGGCAAACGCTTCCTCTGTATAGAGGGTGTCAGGGCACAGTCCTCCATGCGGCCCGACTGCGGATTGTCGGACTACACATATCTTCGAAACATTTTTTTGTTATTATTTCAAAAATATACAGGCTTCCTCACGATGTTTTCCTTCACCGAGCGGGCATGTGATATTTCAGCACCTAAAATTGACAAATTCATTGGTGCTAGCAACGTGGATCGAACTCAGGTTGCTTGAGAATATTAAATTAAAGGCGAGTGCCCGGACGTAATACCTACTAGAGAATAAACAAAAGCAATACAAAATTCAAATTTAAAACTATGCTGCAACATAAGTAAATTAAAATAAAATTTAAACGAAAAGTGTTAATTGTACGCCCTATTACCGGTTAATTAGCAGCTCAGCATAATGCTACGCTGGAAAAATACACAGCGCTGCTTTTCTGTGCTAACCCTAACATAAAGCGGTTCTTAGAAATAAATTAAACTTCCTCATCGGTTCCGATCGAGGAAAGGTGAGGTGAAGGTAACAACACACGTAGCGTTAACCTACAACAGTTCGCCCTACCCGCATTTCGTGGTGGTTCTCATCGCTTCCGGCCAACGATAATACGGTCGTCAAGGTCACGAACAACAAGAAATCCAACGGCGTCTGAGCCGATAAGAGAAAGACTTCTACTCTGTGAAAAGTTGGCAAACGAGTAATGAACAAGCGGTTCACCGGATATAATGTGATTACTTATCATCTGATGTTAAGCGATTATTGCTGCCTGTGGACAACTACAAAACCATGGGTATTTCGTATCATTATGCTCTTTATTAAAGTTAACTCCCATTAGAAGTTTGAACTAAATAAAAAATGTTATTTCTGAATTATCTTAAAAAAAGAAATTACTTTGTACTTTCACATATGTGGAAACACCATTACGGAGTAATCTTTTAATCAGCGTAATAGTATTGCTTCCGGAAATAGGTCGATAAGAAGCCTTATGTTAGTAGTCTACTTTTATACTGACACATTGAATTTACAACAATTACTAATAAATCACGCTCTTTGTTATAAAATAGGATTAATTTAATTCATGAGTTCTGATGTTTCTACACCCTGCAACAATGTGTTTAATTAAAATTAATGTTACAGAATCCGGGAACTTGCTTTGTATTGAATAGAAGTTCCGACTGAGATGATAATGATCATCATCGGCACACAAAGATAACAAAAGAACGAAACAAAAATACTACACATTAATAAATATAACAATAATTGTTACAGAGTTTACGCAAAAGGTGCCAATTGATCTCTTAGATCGTACACAAAATTAATAAGTAAAAATAGGTGGCGGTAGCCCTGGTTAACAATTCCATTCAGACGTTTAACGCTTCCGTTTTTCCCGTAACCATGAACGCTTTTAAATGTCCGAGACTTAACTTAAGAATGAAAGCAATAAATCCGTAAAAATAGTTTCATTTAGTAACAGAAGAAATTTGCGATCGCCGAAGAGTATCAGAGTGATTCCAAACAAGGCTCTAAAGTGGTGAACTTCTTTCTGAACACGTCGTTAAAGTGTAACAGGAAAATAAAACTGAATGACTAATTAGGATACATATCTCAAAACTAGTTATTGACGTTTTGCAACTCTAATCAGAATGTATGCATATTTGATAATATACGACCACGTTTACGGTTCGCATAAATAAACCCACAACATTCAAATGCACTAATGATAAAACTTTTCGACTTTGTTAAGTCAAAATACACAATATTTTCATTAATTTTAAGATACCACTGACTCGCAAATTAAGATCTGTTTAGGAAAACCAACCAGGAAGCTATAATAAAAATATCTTTTTGCGTCCAGACTACATCAAAGTACAAATTGCAAATTCCGCAAGATGCAAGGTCACCTTAGAGCTTGTTTTTACCCGTTGACTTACTATTAGCGTGAACATGAAACAGTAAATGTACGTTAGCATACACACGAACGATCGCCAAACTAGATATATCCCATTGTAGTCAACGACACAAATACTACGCACGCTGCTCGATCTGATGGGAGATATGCAAAGCGAAAGTGATAAGAGAGAAACTCGAGCTGCTTTGGCAGTCTGCCTGTACGGATTCATGGAACTACGCGCCCCGAAGACAACACCGAAACCTCGCTTGATACAATGCCTGACCTACACAGTAACTTAGTTATGAAGCCTTTATATACCTTATAATGACATCCAACAGTACACATGTACATAACAACTAAAATAAAATAATTGTAGCCACGTGGTTTCC